GGATTCCTTCCCTCACTTGTGTGAGGCGGGATACTTCTAGCATCGCTCTTTGGACTGCCGTTTAAAAACGCTGAGTGATTTTTCATCCTAGTTACGTAGCAACCAGATTTCTGCAGCATACGTTAAGGCAGGAGTCGAAAACTTGGGCCTAGAGTTGGGTGTTCTTTGTTCTTTTCGCTACGTCCTCGCTGTTCTTGAAAACTTCCTCAGCCGCTCGTATCCTCTTGCCCAACTCTGGAGCTATTTCGTTGGTCACGTTGATTTCCCTAGCTAAATAGACGTAACTGGAGCACACGGAGATTCTTTGAACGTGAGTGGGGCATACATATCAATCCGTTCCTCGTGAATATCGTTTTTTCTAGATTCAGTCAAAGACCAATGTTTCCACAGACGTTATCAAAATCGGCTAGCAGTCGATCCGCCTGACTAATGTTTGGCAATGTCATCAGCAAAAATGGTGTTATTATCCCATTCCAGTGTTCACATGACGTTCTCGTAGGTGGCGGTAAATAATTTTTCCGAGATAGTATCGCATTGCCTAAACCTCCCTTGACGACTATGGTAATATCGTTCTGGAATGGTGATATCTTGGTTATGAAACCTTTATACAGCTCACGAAGAATCATGGTAAATGTTCTAAACTTGGAGCCAACTAGTTATGCAGCCGCCGTAAAGTGTCCAAAGCGTTGCTGATCTTAGGCGATATGGCTTCTCACGATCTTCATGGGCAACGTAATCGACATGGCCATCAGTGGCACTCACATAATACCGGAGCCAGCGATGGAGTTCTTCTTCTATGCGCTGCTCATGATAATTACAATGGGAATATTTATTATTTCAGGCAAGTTTTTTTGTTCATCTCTTAAGTGCAAATCACTCTGACAAGGCATTTTCGAGCTTATTCTGGAAACGCTATACCATTTTCCATCGCCATGAGTATTCCGTCAAATGAACGTTTAGTTCCCGAAGCAGAGTAAACTATCCATGAAAGCCGTGTCGGGCTGCGATCTAAAGCAAGGTTTAATCTATCTGATGTTTTCATCCATAATCCCAGTTAAGAGTAAACCAATACCAGGATTTATCACCGTTCTTGTATCAAAGAAGTCGCATGGTGGGAAATCTCCCTCTGCTCCACAATGGCGGCGACTGCCTATGATAATGACAATCTGAAACAGATTTCGGCTAAGCTGACCTCAAAACTCCTAAACCTAAACCAGCAAGTGTAAATTATGCTAAATTCGCAAAACCAGTGAAAATGGGCCATCCAAGTATCAAAGTAATTATCCATGAAACGAAGGAGGATCCGTTATTATCATCTATTGATGCTGGATTGCTGGGCGTATTCTGGAAATCACAGTGTGGTCATCTAATGTGTATGTGTACGTAACCTTTATGTGCGTTATTTTATGTTTCTTGGTGTGTGTGTGTGTGCGTGCGTGCGTGCGTGCGTGCGTGCGTGCGTGCGTGCGTGCGTGTGGTGGGTGCAACACAGAACGTACGAACACGACAGAAACTCATGTAACTCGCTACTTATTCCTACTTTACAGTAGTCGTTAGATACTTGATTTAGCCGCTCGGTACAAGTATGTGGAGAACGTGGAGCAGTCACAGACGTTAAAAGACAAAGAGCAAATATACTCAGATGATACCAGTTTGTGATCTGTTCTTGATTTTTATATTTAAAGCTTTAACCTTCAGCATAATAAAGCTGTAACCTTCAGCATAACCTTTCGGATTTCAATTTTGCCACTGCCTAAACACGAAGTCTATTCATTACTAAGATCAACTCTCAAGCAAAAATGAAGTCATGAAGTTGAACGAAACGTTTTGTACAAGAGCAAACGAGGTTAATTGATAATACAACATAGAAGTGGTTTTGAAGCTTGAGATCATCATTGTGCCAAATCCTATGGTTCTCCGATGAAAAATCCAATTTTGTCTTCTTGAAATATGTTCATTTGTGAAACTGATATACCTGTTTCACTACTTACTCACTGTTCTTCTGCATGTAATTCGCACGATTACCCTCAATATACACCGGGTATGGTGCGATTCTAAGGTGGTGGAAGTACTAATATCTCCACTTAAAGAAACACCTACATAATCCCAGATTCTCATTGATCTGAATCGGCACACAAGTTCTAGAATACCATTAAATATTATGGTTCGACAACCTGAGAAAGCAACTACACACCACGTCTGATTGGTAGCACCATCCTGCCTCAAATAAACTCTCAACTTGGTTCAATAGTCTCCCTAAATAGCCTTCATTGTAATCCTAGCGTAGTTTGAGTGGCCCACATGTTTGTATCAGAACAACTATTTTCTGACCAAAATTTAATTTCATTAATCATAAAATCAATAAAATGCGTATAAAAAATAATACTCGTTTGTTCCACCTTGCGATAACAAATTTAATCTGACATCTTATTTTTCCTGGAGGTCATATCACGGCACTTGTAGACGTGCAAGTAGCAACACCCACCTTGGCAACGAATTATATCCCACAGATGCTAATACGGATCACCCTGCATCTTAAGCGACATACTATATGCCTGATACAGAAATACCTGAAGGTTTTTATTGAAAGAACAAAATAAAAGTCAACGAAGATGACAGTGCAAATATACATTGCATGGATTCCATTCATGTATACCATCTGAACACAGTAATATCATACGCAAAAGAGCGGATAGCACAGTGGTAGTGATGTCCGTCATCACGAGCATGGTACTAGTTCGATTCCGCTCCGGGCGAACCAAGTCCCTCATCCCTCCAGGGTTGGGAAATTGGTAGCGGACTTGTCTGGGAAAAGAAAATCACTCTCTGCAATCCAAATGGGAATACTCCAGCTCGTCTATCTCAGAATTCCAGGGAAAATTGCTCAACCAGCATTCTAAGACATCCAAGATAGAATGAAAATCAGCAACCGAAGCCATAAAAGTTGGGGGATCTTCGTGGACAATGGATGCAAGGAAACGAATTGAATGTGAGAAGTACTCGGATCTGCACAATAGACGTGAAGAAGGATCATATTTAAAAAATATATGATTGAAATGACACAAGATTGGTATAGAAATCGTATTTGGCTAAGGTTTCGGAGCCTTCGCTCTTTTTCGAGCCGCGTTGATCTGAGTCGGTGGTCCCAAGTTGATCGTTGTTACAGTATGGGCATTTGCATGTCATCGAATCGAATCCAGAATAACAGGTATCACTTGAGAGGGAAACTTCATTCTAACGTGCCGATACACCCTCTTCCATAACCACCACGGTTGCATCCCTTAGAACACCACCTGTACACCCTGTAGTGAATCACGTGTATCAGCTGTCGTCCCGTTTGTCGTCGAATAACTCAAGCCAACCGCGCTAAATTTTCCGTTTCTCACCAATGCATGCAGTAGTGGCCCAGGGAGTTTTCTTCGCTCTAGCAACTTTTTGAGCATCATGCCTTTCTAGGGTTCTCATGAGGGACGCTGACCATTGTGTCGGTGGTCTTGCTGACGTTTGGCATCCCGACGAATTCAGTGACTAACTCCTATTGTCTATCGGTTATCGTTCATAGGCATTGCGTATCCGGCCCACCTTTTTCTCGACATCATAATGGAGCCCGCGGTGCAGTTCTCCTTCTTCGCTCTGCTCATAATGCTCACAATGGCAATATTTGTTATTTTAAGCGAGTTTTATCCTCATTTCTAGATTATAGGCGTTCTCTTGATACTGTGTCTGAAAATGCATCGAGTTTATTCTGTTCGCTAGTTCTTCCTACTGTACAATAATCTCTAAATACTTGATTCAGCGGCTCGATACAAATATGTGACAAACGTGGAGAAACGACAAACCTTACAAGGCCAGAAGGAAATAACCTCAGATGACACCAGCTGTTGATCTATCGCTTAATTTCGTATTTAAAGTTTTAACCTTCAGCGAAACCTTGAAGACTAACTAGGCTTCGTTCGACTTAAACACTATGCTCGCTTATTATCATGGGTACTCAACTAAACCGAATAAAACCATAAAATTCAGAGAGACATTTCTGTAAGTGCAACAATAGAGCAGATTAACTAAAAATGCAAGAGAAAACATCGTTTATGAGACGTGGAGATACTTTGTCAAATCCCTCTCTGGACTCAAATTCAACCTCTGCGTAATATCTGCCATTTTTGCAATTCACGATTACAAGCAAAACAGACTAGGTACGGCCCGATTCCGAAGTGGTGGTTGTACTAATGCGTGGTTGCTTGAAACTCCGTAAAACCTTAGCCTCCTATTTAGCTGAATCTGCATAGTTACTCTAGATTGTCATAAAATGTCGTGTCTCCACAGCCTGATAAAACAACACTTCACGCCTGACTTGCACCACCATCTGACCGCAAATAAACCCATAACATTGCTCCATGGTCTCGCCAGACGGCTTTCATTGTAATCCTAGCTTAGTTCGAGGTAACTTACAAGTTTTTATCAGAACTCTTTCGTAAACAGAATCTATTTCCACTGATACACCTTCTATTACTGCGTAGTAACTGCTTATTGATGCCAGTTATATTGTATAACTAACTGAACTCAAAAACCTCGTGAGATAAATTCTTAGATCTACCACTCATTTCGTTATTTACTTTGTTACAATATTTGCTAGAAAACATGTTTATAAAAAACCCTGCGTCGTACTTCTCCTCCCTGCGACAGCATTCATTGAAACACATGTATATGAGAAACCCTGTCTTATTTTCCTTGGAAGTCAGATCACAATACTTATATACGTGAAGGTACCAACACTTTACTGAGCAACAAGTTATGTCACACATATGTCAGTATGAATCACTCTGCACCATAAACGACTAGCCATGTTTCTCATACAAAACACTTGGAGACCTTTATTGGAACAACAAAGTAGAATTTCACCAAAACGACACTGGAAATATACAGTGTCTCAACTTCCTTTATGTCAATTACTTAAACAAATTTTATCAGAGTAACTACGATGGACAAGAAAGAACTGAGTGTTAACGCCACTCCTGATGACCACCGCGACCGAAATAACCACCGCGCCCTCTTGAGGGCTCGTTAGGCGTCCAGTTACCATAGCCAGTATTAGTAAATCCTCTTTGATTGTTGAAAGGCCCATTGTAGTTCCCATGGGGTGGTGTTCCATAAGAATTGTAGTGGTAGCCTTGCATTTCCACACATCCTCTTCCATAACCACCACGATTGTACACCCCTGCACTGAACACCCCTAAAACTTCAACAACGTAGATTTAAGATTTTTTTTAAAAGACGAAACCAAAATTCATAATTTTGCGCAAACTGGTGAACTAAGTAGCACTGCAAACCTCGCTGCCCTCCACCATCATGGATGCCTCCACGACTGCTGCCATGCATCTCACGATTGTCTAAAAAACACCTACCAAGGTGCAATTCACTTAAAGATTAATCTCTCAAGGTTTTCTTTTATGCAAGACATGAACTGGGTCATTCAGAATTCACCAGAGAAGTAATCTTATTATGTGGAAGACATAAGCCTTTGTGGGACCCACCGTACGGACGAGTATCGAAAGGTACGCCATGCTGAACAAATCGATGAGCAGAATTATCCAGAAACGCTCTTCCGGGTACGTCTCTAGTGAACCCTATTTGTGGACGGTAATCGGAACCACTCTGAACCAATCATGTTGATGGAAATTTTGAACCCTATCCTCCACGTTTAACAACCCTACTCGACGATCACTGAAGTCACGAAGAGCTCGAGGTATTTCTTGTGCATTTTCTAGTCGTTTGGCCGGAAAAATGAATCCTTCGGGATAATGAGGATCCTCATAGATAACCATAATCGCACCATTGACCTGAATTAAAACGTTGTGATCTAAACAATGACGTCACAAAGCCTTTCATCTCCTCTTCAATGTTTTTAAACATGCTTATGGTATTTATAAAGCACTTTGGCCAGAAAGAAACAATATTTTGAATAATATGGTACATGGTCTCCCATTAATTTACCATTCATCGTGGACAGAAATGTTTTTGTACGTTAAAAATGATGCTAGACTGATACTCAACTACGGTGCGTTTTAAACTAATGCCAAGAATCACTGTCCTGGAAAAAGTCGAATCACAAAGGTACAAAACCTCAGTTCTCTTGTAGTAACTAGCTAGAAACATTCTGATGAGTTATTTCGAGACAAAACATCTTTTCAACTCGGCAACATATTGGTTGAAGAGATGAAGTGGTGAGAACTGCATATTCTCACTTTTCGTAATGCAAGCCACTCAAGAAATCAAGAGTACAATATGCAAGAAATGAAGTCTCAGTGTCTAGTTTGTTTTTGAAAACAAGAGTCCGCTCTCGTTTACTGTAAATTGCAAGATGAAAGCAGAAAGAAACTTACAGGCAGATCAGGACATGATTTATCTTTAACAGGAGAAGGAAAAGGTTGATTTGGAGCAATTGCTGTCGAATCAGTTGTAATTCTTCCGGAAACGCCATATGTAAAAGCTGGATCGATATCAACAGATTTTACAGCTAAAGAAGAGGCCCCATATCAGTATTCTATTTAGCTTCCTCATCCAAAATCTATATTGTAGATAAAGTAACTTAGAAAGAAAAAACAGTATCGAAGAAAAACAAGTGTCCCATAAATTAAACTAACTATGGCCATCATCTGTATAGAGTTCTTTAAAGAAATCGAAAGCAGGATGTTCCCTACCAATAAATATACGATTAGGACCAACGGTATTGCGCGCTAATTCTTCTTCAGTTAATGTATCTTGTACCTTAACATTAATGTTTTAGAGTTTATCATGTAGAAGTAGCTCGTATAAATGACAAATGCGAACTAATCTTAAAAGTTGAACTGTACCAAATAACACACCGATTTAAGTGTTCTGAGAAGTCGAACTTCGTCAACAAAAGGTAAGAGTGCAACACCCTGCCAGGCAAACTTCTTTCCATTAAGGTCGATACGGAAATCAATGGGGTATAAATCAATAATTGGAGAATCATCATCGGTCATTAGTTTCTGCCACTGGAGTGGAAGATGTTGCCTGCAGAAGTTGTGAAGAATCATGATTGGATATAGTGGCCATTTTTATAAATAAAACAGCACACACTTGCTAGCCGCAGGGAAAACACTCATTAGCTGCTCCAGTGGCTTGAATGGTTTAGTTTCACGACAGAAATCGGGTTTGAACTGTGAAACTGTGTCGAAATCACTCGCAAATGGAGCATAATGATATGGAAAATACCAGTCCCAGCTAACACAACCCTATAAAAAATTTGTTGAAAAGTGTAGCGCAAAGCAAATACAAGTCTTCTTTCCTAATCTTCGAAGTGACGAAGTGATTCTATATAAAATGTAAAAAGGCATCTAAAGCTATAGGATGTTTCACATCCTTTTGTCTAACACCTATTGAATCAATAATAAATCGAACAACTCGTAGAGCACCTGATAATAATACTTGAGTACCCAGCAAAGTCCTTCAACGTAAGCCCATGCCACTTTTCTTCTAAATCCTACGTCTTCTTCTCCAACATCAAACTTCGCTCTAAATTTCTAAACTTCTTGAACAGCACTATGCCGTGCAGTTCTATCCAGATAGATAATTTACCGATAGTAACGATCTTTCCAGCCGGATTCAAATAAACGGATCTCATCGACACAATCTTGATCACTATCAAGATCCAAAGGAGCCTCAAAGTTGAGAAAATTGTGGAAAGAAAAGTCGAGAAGTTATAAAAAAAAAAAACGACAGATTACTGCATAAAGAAATAAGTTACTTTAGAAAAAGAATGTCATTCCCTACTTTTGGACTTGTATGGGAAAGAAGTGGTCAGCAAGTGAAATTTACAAGGAAATTCACTGCCACTGACGCTTTCTCTGCAGATATAAACTGAAAACATACATACATCTGTCTTCCTCTTCCTACTGCTGTTGCCACCATCAACGGAAGTACTTCCCTCTTCCTTAAGCAGCGCTTTTAGACGTCGAGCTGCTTCATCGTTTTCAGAATATTTCATTGCCTTGGATAACGTTGATTATCCTCACTACAAGGTTTCAACAAAATGTGTACCTCGATACGAGCAGATGCAGCAAGTGAACGCGTTGCTTCTCCACTTAATGGAGTTGCCTTTTTCTCAGGTGCGATCAAAGACTCGGGTTGTGGGACATAAGATGGAGCAAGAGGGCGTGAACCTCCACTCAGTCGTGCTTTTTTCGCTTTCTGAATCGCCTTGTAGCGCTCATCTTCTTGCTAAACGGTAAATAAAAAACGGCTGACGAATTGAAGAGTGACACAGAAGTTAAAACCTGAGCAATATGTCAACTTACCTGGCGACGTTTAAATATTTCATCTTCGACCTCTCCTAGTCCGAGCATTATCCGTTCAACTCGATCCATGTAAACGCCTCCATCTTTGGTTAAATACCTCAAATTACAAAATAAGATTTCATATGTTCTGAATGAATGTATAATATGCAACACTTTCTGTTCTCAACGATGAGACTTGCAAAGGAGTCACTGCACAAAAACGGCAGCACCAAAAGTACAAAACTATTTTGCAACATACCCTTTCATACTGTATACCATGTCCTTATACAACTTGACTAGACGATCTATGGCACCCTCGCGAATCTCCAAAGATGGGAGATGGGGGAGAAAATCGTTTCCAACGAAAAAACAGAGGAAAACCTGAAGATAAACGTTTTGGTAAGTGACGTACAAGGCACTTAAACAACATTTTGACACCAAAATATCGATTATAATACAAGGACATCTATTGGTTTTACTAAAAATATTTCTTAGACACGAAAAGTACATCAGAAAGATTCACCCAGTCGTCGATTACACGCTCGAAGTCGTACTTGAAAGGAAGATTCTCCATAACCAGTTCTCTCTCCAAATATTCCCGCAAAACAGGAATGCGTAGGAAGATAAAGTTCTTCTCCTTAGATATTGGGTCAGCTTGCTCAGGCCCTTTTTCTTCGTTTTCAAGACTGAAAAAAACAGTGGAATTCCACCACTTACCTAATTTAAAAGATAAAGGATAAAGCTCATAGCGTTTACTGATCCCTGGGAGAAGCGCCGTGCATTCGACTTCATTAAGTACCGTTGAAGGTGACTGAATGCATATCTGGCCTTTAAAATAACTCGTGGTGGCCCGCCGATGTATCCAGCCAGTCCTGTTATCCTCCCAGACAAGTCTGGTACCAATTTGCCGACCCATGAGGAATGGAAGGCTTGGTGAGCCACAGACGCGATCGATCTCATGTGTGCATTGCAGGGCGCCTCCGACCACGGCGCCACATGAGCCAAATATTCAAACAAGGCGAGAACAACAATTAAATTATGAACCGCTTTAAAATACTCACCCTCTGCAATTCTTTAGCTCGTGTCCATATTGTCCACATAGTTCACACGGACGTTGTTGATGAGCAACAAACTCTTCTCTAAGAAACGAAAAATGTTTTAAGACGCAAGAAACTCTATTTGCAACCCTTCGGATTCCAACTGCACATCCCACCGAATAATATTGAAGTTGGCTTCGTGAGTAGCCAATCCTAACATAATGAGGTCTGCGTCAGCACCACATAAGCAGTGCACAGTATTCGGATTGTGTGCAGGATTTGAACGTTGTTTACGAATAAAATCCATGATTTTATGCTCACCTTCTCCAGGAACATTCGCATCAGAAAGAATTACCTTAATAAAGAAACTGAATATAATACTGTGGTTGCAAGTGAATACCGCACAACTACAAAAATAAATAACATAGATGCGCTGTAATAAAAACAGACTTGAATCTTTGCCCAAGCCGGATCGGTGGTAATCCTGTCGTGAATGTAATATCGCAACGCATCAGCCAGTCTATACAGGTGAATGGCTAATTTTCTTAAAGAAGAAATTCTCCTCTAAAATTGAAAGTTATAAGAGACAAACCTCGCCATAAACGGAGTTCCAGGAGTGATACAGTTGCTATCAAAATGAGTTTGATTTTCTTTTTTCGGAGGAACAGGAACTCCTTCTTCCTCTAAACGTCGCCTTTGCTAAAGATCTTTGCAATCAACTTATATAGAAGACAAGGAGACAAGAATAACAAGAAGTGTAATAAAAAGGACAAAGCTCTTGGCGTTGATCGATCCATGAAGGGTGCGCCATGCATTCGACTTTATTAGGCAACGTTGGAGGTGATTGAATGCATATCTGACCTTCACAATGACTCTCGGTGGCCTACCGATCTATCGAGTCACTGCTTTCATCCTCCTAGACAGATCTTGTCCAATTTGCCGACCCCGGAAGGATGGAAGGCTTGGTGTGCCTTAGACGCAGGGATCGATCCCGTGTCTATTGTAGGGCACCTACGACCACTGCGTTACACGCGCCATGCCACAGTACAATACAAATGTCAATTCATGGAAGTCTTTGTGTTTTCAATATCAATAGAAAAGAAAGAATGATTTAAGAAAAAGACTGAATTACCTCTTCAATCGAAGCCTGCTTCTCCCAGGCTTCTTTAGAGGCTCGAAAACGACGGCTACGCTGTTGATTCATCTGCGACACAGAATCATCTAACATACCCCAACAGGAGTATAAAAAATAGGTACTTAATGAATGAAAACTAACTTTCGCCCTGGGAGCGACTCCATCGATAGCCATATATAAGAGCTTTCGAGGGCGAACAATGGAAAAAATCCTATCGATGTATTCAAAGATGAGAGCCTGAATAACACCTCATAATGGAGGATTAAGAAACACTTCATATGCACAAGAAAAAAAACTAAAACCCCAAAATTTCGATAACCCGATCTACACGAAAACATGACAAAATGATGAAATCACAGAGATATAACGTACAAACATCTCGTCCTCGTTGGCAGGCGGTGGTCGATCTTCTGGATGAGTACAGGGGTGAATAATGCCATTCATGTCTAGGTAGAGGTTGTCGAACTCCTAAACAATTCATCAAAATCCTTGAAAGATAAGAGAGCTTTCACATGATACTGAACAAAGAACAGCAGTCGGAAACATACGAGGTCATAACGACGAATGAAAACGTTGAAGGGGAGAACGGACCTGGAAATTGGGATTGGGCTTTGTAGCGTCAACTGGTATTCGAGTGCCGTCAGCGCTCTTTTGGCGATCTTCGTTCGCGTTCACTATTATGGACGGATATTTCTTCGTAAGCCAACGGAAGAACGCCGGTACACCCATTTTGAGAGGTCCTGTAAGTTTTAAGAATAAAAAGTAGGTCTCTACAGTGTACAAATGATGAAGTTCCTTCGCATTAGACATGGCCAACACTTTTACGTGTTAAAACAACAATAATGTAAGTAGTGACAAACAAACGTGGATACCATAAACACAAAACGATAGGCCACAGCAGCGGCATGTGACTGCTCGTCGACTGCCTATGGTCTTCTGTGACTACAGACCATGTCCGCATCCGAGCGTACCGTAATAGCAGCAGAGATTTAATGGTTTCGTAAAAGTAGTGATGTTGTGAAGAAATTGGTTCAGTACTTAGTCGGTTATGGTAGAGTTTGGTGGTAAGTAATTGACATGGTTCTGTTGCATTTATCCATCACGTGGTCTGTCCATTCTTCTGATCTGAAACAACCTGCAGAATCATTTTTACCAGCGCCTACAGAAGTAATGAACATGCGGTTTTCGCTTCGGTTTATAGCTAAACATTTATAAAAGCTCAAGCAAATCGCCGGTTCCTAGGCTGAAATTGCTCAGAACGAATGTGGAGCAACCATTTCGCTCTCAGTAGATTTTCTCTCGGAGGTGTTGAGCACAGTGGTCGCTATGCCGGACAGAATCTTACCTTACTTTCTGTATTCAATCGATAATTTTCCTAACGAAGATGTTGTTCTCGGCATTAGCCGGGAAAACCTGTTCCCTACAGATCAGAGTCTTAGAAAAATAGCTTTTCGTCGGGGTCTGCTCGCTGGACGGCAGTGAAGGGGGGCGCGAGGACCCTCGTTACGACGACAGTCGCTCCTGACGGGTCCACTGGAATGATTCGACGCAGGCCCACCACGGAATGCGTCTCGGGTGATCGACTCCATCACCAGCAAATATGGCGAATATAATGATTATAAAAGTGAAAGTGAAAAGAAACGGTAAATAACTAGAAGTTCGAATAGATGCCGAACTTTAGTCAATGTAGAGCGAACAGTTATAGGTTTGCAACACAGTGATAGGATGCTGGACGAGGTTTTTTAACCGCACATGAGTTTGGAATCTCCAAAAGTCATTGAATGATGTACAGAGGAACTGATAAGAACTCATAGAATGTGTATGACACATCCAGAAGTCATGGAATGATATACAGTACATGAAAACAACTCAAAGACTTATCAAAAGGTAATGTGAAAGAGACGAAATGGCTTGTACAAAGGTTTCTACCGGAAGTCCATGTGGAAACGGTCTAAAGACTTATACATTATGAACGGATAGATTTAAGATAGTTAAAAGCAAATAGTTAGTATAGAAAACATGTGCTATTATAGAGAGTAGGAACTATTTAAGGAATAGTTACTATATACAACCCTGCAGCCAAGGCTCACCAAGCCTTCCATCCCTCCGGTGTCGGTGAATTGGTACCAGATTTGCCTGGGAGGATAGCAGCACTGGCTTGATACATCGGTAGGCCACCGCGAGTCATTGTAACGGCCAAATATGCATTCGATCACCTCCGAACGACGCTTAATGAAGTCGAATGTATGGCGCATCCCTAAGGAATTGATCAAAGCCGAGAGCTTTATGCTTTATCCTTTTGTAGAAAACCGATGACCGAGTGACCTATATGAGCTGTGTTCACACCGTACCAGCGCATACAGAAACGAAAAGTGTGCTGTTCATGACTCCTACTACAAGCACGGCGTCTAGATCATCATGAATCCACCACACTCGTACTTCTGATGGTCGGCGCAGTGCAGAAATAAAATCACATTTAAACAGCTGAAGCACTTCGCTTTCGTCTTCTGTATTCAGGTGCTCCGTATGGAATGCCCGATACTGAAGTACGAAACTCCCAGTGATTTCTACACTCTGTTATGGCTTGCTATTTCTGCAGCTAGATGTGAAAGCAAGGGAAATGGAAAACAGACTTGCATTAACCTTAGCTCCAATTACTTCGAATTAGCTTTAAGCATGATGTTCTAACGTTTTATTTACTGCCTGTTATTTTTATGACAGGATATCAAGTGAAATGTCAACCACAAATACTCTGAGACATTTGCAAAATTTGGAGCTCTGGCTAGATTCGAACCTGTGCTACACTTTCCGGAGGCTCACCTCTTACCCACTGCATAACTTAGGCCTTCATTTTGCCTTTTTCTCGGTCATTTTTGAGGTCCCAGTTTTGCCGATCTCTCAGCATGATTGTGGTTGTATTTCACGTAGTACCAAACCATGAAAAAGTAGTATGCAATAAATAAAAAGTTGAAACATTGATTTCGTGAATTCGACTACTGCTTCAGCGTAACTGGGTCCAATACCGATTTGTCTTCTCCAGAGTATTCCGTTTGACGTGTGGTTGCTGATGGCATCGTCAGGGCAAAAAACTGGCTGAGAGAAAAAGCTAAGCAATGGCCTCAGTGGTGCCGTGCGTAGCACGTGAGCACTCGGAAAAGGTAATCGCTGGTTCGAATCTGGACACGGGTCCAATTTTTGCAAATATCTCAGAAACAATGCAGCATAAAGCAATTTGGATTTTCCCACCTGGTGGATCTGATAATATCACAAGCGATGTCAACGCCTCTGATGCACACATTGCATTCATTTCTTCAATCAAAACATTGGCATTTCTTGAAAAAGGCAGCGAATCTTTAGTGAAAAATCAGCAGCTGTAAAACAATTGCAATTAATACTTCGATCTCCTATAGGAAACCGGATAGCACATTGGTAGTGATGCCGATCATCACGAGGGCGATGCTGCTTCGATCGTGCTCTGGCCACACCAAGACTGTCATCCCTCCGTATTCGGGAAATTGCTAGCGGTCTTGTCCAAGAAAACCTCACTCTTTGCAATCCAAATGGAAACGCTTTAGCCCGACTATCTCAGCAGTCCATGAGAATTGACTCGACCAGCGTTCAACAACAGTCATGATGAAAAGAAAATCTTTAAGCAGTAACCGAAGCCATATGCAAAAAGTAAGACGTTAGAAGATTTCGTGGATGGTGGATATGAGGAAAAGAATCAAATTCAAGAAGTTTTGGGATCCGCATATTACATGTGAGAGATGTGTCGTGAAAAAAATTCCTTTCAACATTGCGAGCTATAAGCGTTAGAGTGGTCACCTCCAAAGTGGATCCCATCTCAAGAAAATGGTAACGTTAGAGGTTTCATGATTCGACCACACCCTGCTAACAAGGCGTCCCTGTTACGCCGAGGTCAACAAATTAAAGTCAGACAATCAATACGTGTAATGAGCACACCCAGGGAGCGGATTTCATAGTGGTAGTGATGCTGATCATCACGAGCACGGTGCTGCTTCGGTCCTGCTGTGGGCTCACCAAGGCTGTCATCCCTACGCATTCGGGAAATTGGTGCCAGACTTGTCTGTAGAAAATCACTCTCTGCTATCCAATTTGGAACGCTCCAGCCCGACTATCTCAGAACTCCGGGAAAAATCGACTCGACCAGCACTCTACGACATTCAAGATAAAATGAAAATCCTCAAGCAGCAACCGAAGCCATACGTAAAAGTTGGGACATCTTCGTGGACAATTGATGCGAGGAAACGAATCGAGTGTGAGATGTACTGGGATCTACTCAGTAGACGTGAAGACAAGTCATATAAAATAAAATTTAAAAAAATTAGCGTACCATAAAATTTCGATTGCTTATCATATATCCAGGACGCGTTTCGCCTAAAACACTATAAATAGGGAAACGCTAATTCCGAATAAACTTCCGATGCGGTGTCACTAGGTAAGACGAGGACGCGAGAACACTAAATTCCAAGGATTTTTATGCTCAAAAATTTTCCAAAGGTGATGGTACCAATCTTCATTTACAACGCCAACACCTTTACATCGGAGGCTTTCATGCAGAATCTCATGATGCTAACGACATACCAGACAAAGTTAGAAGTCAACGAACTAAACGAGACAGGAAGCCAGCTTCCGCTAAACATGTTAAGTCTTGGAGAAGTCCTTATTCTGAAAATATGCAGAAGCAATCACTGCGGCTCATCAATATTAAAGGAAGGCGAGATCGTGTTAAGCATATCTACCTGCACTATGCTGCAAGGATGGTCACGTCTATCCATAATTCATTATCAGCGGTTTATATCTTAAGATTGCAGTAAGAAGAGGGTTTGCAAAAGTTTGCAGCCCAGGAGACGAAGTGGAATAGAAAGGGAAAATTCGAGGGCGAAGAGAGTCGTTCAAACTTGTTTGTACTTCCAGAAGCCCTAATTTAAGGTTCAACTTGATCTTCCGTTTGAAAACAGTCTAATGAATTTGACTTTATCGTCGCAAGTCAGAAGCTTCGCCAAGATGACTTTGCTGCGAGGAAGTTCTACATTAGATCGGACTATCGGGTCCGTTGCGCGTTCCTGTTATTTTTCCAGGAGAAACGCAAAATCGCAAATTTTGAAAAACCAAATCCGAGGAGAAGCTGTTGTAAACTAAGACTTTCTTTACACCTTAAATCCACTTTTGGAAAAAAAAAGAGTTATCGATCACATTGACAAGAAATGCGACTTTCCAACACCTACTTTCTAGAGTAGCTAAGAGCTTGAAAGTCACTAACAAAGTCTCTTCCAAGAAGCAGTCTAGCTGACGCACTATGGAACCACACGTCCTTTAGGCTATCATCAACTTAAGTCCGAACCTGTGGAAACCTGTGGATAGGCGATAAGTTGTGATTTTAAAGAAGGGGAAATAGAACTAATAGATGGGAGTTTTGAGAAAGACATCCGCACCGGTCGATGGAACTTCGCCAATTGCAAGAATGAGATGGTCGCATTAGAGCATAGAGTTGGAACAGTCGGTCCTTTCTAAACGGCAATGTAAAAAGTCAACCACGCTTCTTTTTACAACGGTTTCTTTCGGTAACCACACCTACCTGTGTAAACATCATGTCGAGAACAATGGATATGTCATCCTAGTGCTTCTGTCTTCCGTAGCTAAACATGGTTTCTCGTCGGTGAAGAACTATAAAAAAATCGATCCCGACAGGACCAAAGCCAAGCGTTTGCGAAGTCCATATCCAGCACTTTTCTAAAACTGCACTGGATTTTTACATAGTGAGCGGAGAGCCTGTAGAGCTCTGTTGTTGCACAACAAGAAGGAGCTGCACGACACCGCCATTTATCACCCGTTCTGTCTAGAGCCTCAACTATACAGTCCACACGAGTCGTTTTCAGTGCGACTGATGGAGCACCGGAGGACGAAAAGTCATGCGAGATATCATGATCCCGAAAACAACTAAACATAATTAGATTATGTTCACGCGAAATTGAAAGTTATGAAGTAGAAGGGACCACGAGAGTATTCTCTCTCTTTCAAGAGGGTTCACTCTCCCGAGAGGAAGGGACATCCAACTCAACTGGATCAGAAGCAATCAGCAAAACACTGGTCGACACCGCCTTAGTAAGCTCACAAAATTCAGCCGTGAGAGAACAGTAATTTCAGAATACTCCCCAGATGATATGTGGCACGTGTTGCGTAGTGGTCAGAGGTGCTCTGCAACACACACGGATCCCATCCCGCGCTCCAGGATCACCAAGCTTTCGATGCTTCCGAGGTCGGCAAATGTAATACCACACCTGTCTCCGAGGACAGCAGCACTCACTCAATAGATCGTTGTGCCACTGAGGCTCATTGCATAGGGCAAACGTGCATTCAATCACCTTTAATGGTACTTGATGAAGTTGAGTGCGTGGCGTCGTTAGAGTAAAAACTGGCTGCGAAGAAGGCAAAGCAAGGTGCTCTGTTGGTGTGGTTCAAAGCACGTAAGCACCTGAAAAAGGTAACCCCAGGTTGCAACCCCACCTGAGGTTCTAGGTTTTGCTCATATGTCAGCATCACTCTGGTAGTGATTTCACTATTTCACCTTTTTAGAAAGTCTGACGACCTGCGTAAAGAAACATCCGTGGGTTAAGCAAAAGGATTTCGCTAAGAAATTTGACAGGCACTCTTCTGATAGTCCTCTGAAAGAAAGAAAAAATGTGAAAAGTGAAATGTGACGACATTGAACACCTATTGACATCATCTGTTGCCTATGTGCCTGTTCAACACCTCGAGACTATCAACCGGGCGGCTCTAGAATTGACTGGCAACTCATCTTCGACTTTCGACTTACCTCTCTTCCTCGTCTTATTTGGAAATAATCTTCACGATGAATGCGAAATGATCAGTTAACTTAAAATCTTCCTTTTGTTGCCTTTCGATTACTATCTTTCTACATTTTTTCCCATAATGGTCTGCTCTCTTATGCTGTCTTATGCAAAATTCTTGAAGCGTTGCTTGTAGGTTTATATTCTGTCTTGTTTCTTCTACTCTAATACTGAACGCGTTGCTTTTCCAATTTGAGAGCACATTTTTGAGAGATAGAACTTTTATACCACTTACCCAAGAATATCTTGTGTAAAGTGTTTTGCTGAGAACTTAATGGAGGACTACCTAATTTCTCCTAAGTGGATTATGGGTTCAGAAAACAATAAGCGGACCACTTATTCTGTTGCACGCCTCTCATTTCCAGTAGTTTTCGACAGATTCGACACTATTACTTCGTTCGAGAGTATGAAGGAGAGGAAGAGGTTTTAAAGGGTTTCAAAAAGCTTAAGGACTAAATAGTTGTTTTTTCATGCCTTTTTTCTTTGAAAAAACAATACCTCGAGGGTGGAGGCTGCTGTGCTTGGTTGTGGTTTTGCACTAGTTTTAGCGCGAGAAGCAAAACTGCCGATGAACAAACCTGTCAGTATTGATGCTGGAATTATTGCTTATCAGAACTCACTAATCTCGAATATTCTGCTGCCTGTCTTTTCGATGGATTTAATGTTCATTTTGGTATTCAGCATTTGCAGGAAGCCCGTATTTCAAAACAACCGCAGTTGTTGTTTGCTTAAAGATAAGCTTGAATTAGTGCCACGTAGAAACGTCTGATAATTTGTTACTACGAGAGGTGAGTTTCATTCCGAGTTCATCTAAATGGAGCTGAGTTCGGTGCTTTCCAAGTTGTTGCCTGTGCTTACTGGCACGCGAAGTCCACAACAGGTAAAACTGATCTGCTTCACTTTCCAGCCGTATCTGAACCCTATTTCCCATGGCATATTTCCGCTAGTAGAAAACTGCTTAGTATTATTCTGTTATCACCCAGACACCAACATTATTGTAGATCCAACTAGGGCAATATGTTCACCAAGGAATACCCTTCCCGAACGCGCTCTCCATGGCGATGCTGCTTTCCAATCATGCGGCGCACGTAAACAGGACTGCCCACTCATCACATGAGGTAGACATGGTCGTAAACTCGGTGCTGAACCATTAGAATGCGGAAGATTTTTCAACATTTCGCTACTATTAAGATACAGTAACATTTCAGGCCTCCAACAGCTTCGAGATCCAGCTTCTCCATCCTGAGATCCGTCACTTGGTACTACCGTCAGATGCATTCAAATCACACAAGGGTGGGATGAAAAGAAAGAAGCGGAATGCCCAAAGCAAGAAATCTGATATCCATCATCAAGCGACCGTTGGAACGGTGTCACCGGCGGCTGCCATAACACCTACTGAAACAGTAAGTGGCCGTTCTCATGGTAGCCACAACATCGCAGTGCACTTGAATCATTCATGGACAGGTGAAACCATTAGCACCAGTGCAATCTTCACATGTATTACCTTTAAATTGTTAAAAATTGCATGTAGCAGTGAACAGTACGTGTTTGGAGATCTATCCGCGTTTGCATAACTACCGCTCTGCTGTAGTAAGCCCTAATGCATATCTTTTGAAGGTCTCGTAGCTCGCTTATCTCCAGTGCTGGAAGAACACTCGTGTAGTGGTTTCTAGTTAGCAAAAAACACTACAATCCCAAATATAAGCAATTACACCAGAGAAAACCAGGTGTCGTCACTTATCAGAACAACTTTCTAGTCTACACGTTTCTGATTTGTTGAGCCTACACGAGGTTGGTAAACTTGTTCATTTCGGCTAACGTTCCGAACGTCTTCGTCCTCATCAGAGTCCATAATCCGTCTCGGTGATCCATAGTTGTTCGTTATCTCGATGTGGCGTCTTCGTTGTCATACCGAGACCGGATCTTCTTCAGTGAACACCGCACGAATGAGCCAAACTCACCCGGCAGTGTCCTTTTATACAGGGTTGTTGTTATTGATAATACTATCCGTTGATAGTAGTTTGTTTTTCAACGGATAATCCATCCGGTGAAAATCGTTTCTAGTCTAAAAATAGCCAAGGGTTTTCGAACATTGGTCCATAAGGTAAAATAGATGAAAACTGAGAAAGTGTTCTGGTTCACTTTCGTGTCCTGGGTTCACTAGAGTTTCCAACCTGCTGGTACCAAATTTATGTGGGAGGGTAGCAGTCCTGATCTGATTTAGGGGTAGACCACCGCAAGCTAATTTATATACCAAATGTGCATTCAATCTCCTCCAACGATGTTTGATGGAGTCAAATGCATGGCGCATCCATTAGAGACTGATCAACTCCAAACGTTTCTTCCTTTATCCTTATCTTCGTTGAATCCCGTGGCTACCGTTTTTGCATCCTTACTCAGCCTAGGCTCATATTCCAGGCCATTTCACATTTGATGTGGTGTTTGTTATTCAGTGGGAAACAACTCACTCAACACAGCGCGCTGTGACCTTAGCGGTAGTAAACGCGGCACTGAGGGGCAGATGTTGTATGCCGAATCATTGAAACAGTTACAGTCGTTCACCGTTATGGAAAAACCTCTAATGACAAGTTCAAACTTGGATTCTAATCCGAGAAATCGTACTTCTGCTACGTGTCGGATACGGGACCCGCACCGACCAAAAATCTGTTGCTGAAATTGATTTGCTATCGTCGGTTCTCGGCTGCAGAAAACACCATTCGACTTGCGTGCAAAATATTTGTACGTGTCATGCAAACTTTGGAAATTTTCTATGTGGCCAAAGTACTACAGATATCTATTACATAGCGCCGGCGTGAAACAACTGCGGCCACGCATAAATGAGCACGCAGGTTAAGATGAACAAGTTGAATGATGACTTCGGTTAGGCGTCCGAAATCGGCCTACACTGAACGTTGTCCCTTAGTAAGAAGTCCTCTTCAGATACCATCCACTTGTGCAAATTGTCTAAAACATGCGCTAAATAATGCCTCCTCAATGGGTGATCAACACTGAACGTTGCCCCTTAGTAAGATGTCCTCTTCAGATTCCAACCACTTGTGCAAAATGTCTAAGACGTGCGCTAAATAATGTCTCCTCAATGCGTGATTAATCATCCACTACAATTCGCCTCCCTTCACATCGTGGGCTTCCACGTTTTCTTCTTATTGACCTGTAGTTCTTCAAGACTTTATTCGTTGCCGCCGTTCTTCTCTCTTCCTCTCCCCTTACCATACCAAGTGTCGGCTTTGCAGGTCATGTCGCACATAAAAGCTCCAGGCGGTGGTACGATCGTCTCGTCGCGTGATGAAAACGGTCAGATCCATGTGCGCGTCGAATATGACCGGGACGAGGTGAGAATGATCACTCACCGACTTTTTGTGGGGTATTGTTTCTTGGAAAACTGTATTTAAACATGCATATTAAAACATTGACGTAGGGAAACTTGTATTCGATTTCAAAGCGTTGCAAAACAAAAAAGGTAGTAAGGAAATCGGAATACTAGGAATGTCTGATCACACACCTGCAGTACGGCTAGCTTTTGACCTCTAAGACACCAGAACTTCTCCTTTACAGTGCTATCAACTGACTGCGCTTTAAAATAGGTATTACGGTGACGTAGTGCTGCACAGCATATGTTCAAAACCAGTTTTTGTTGATGTTCAGCAGTCGTCTTTAGGTCTTTACTTCTCGATATTCAGATGCTTCGCTTCTCCCACTCGCCTTACGCAGTTCTGCCACCGGTCTGTCTTAAGAACATCGTGATGAGCACACCGGAGATTTTGAGTAGATTTCCACAACGACACGGTGTCGACATCAATCCATCGTCTGGGATGACTTGGTGACTTCATAGATGTCTGCCATCGAAATCTCCTTCACATACGCATCGAACCTCATCGCGTTTATGGATATTAAATTGTTTACTAATCCACTTATGCTATGTTTATTGGGTTTTGATGTGGATTTTTGGCATAAGCGACAAATAACTATTTGTTTTTCTGATTCGGTGGAGTTACTTATGAAACAATGATTCCCTGTTCTAAGCTGGCTAAAACCAACAAGATTAGCGTTCAGTCACGTAAAAAAACTACACCAAATATAGACGATAGTGTTTCTAAGCTTGAAATGACCTATCTGAAAATGTTCTCTTCTATAATGCTGAGATATTTGCAAAACTCCGGGCCGCAGGTGTTGAGAAACGAAAAAAAGAAGAATAGGCAGTAAATAAAAAGGCTAAGATTGTGATTATAACTATAGCCTCAGCTTAACTGGGTTCAATGCCGATTTGGGCTCCCCAAATCAACCCCATTTACGGGTGGCTGCTGATGCAAAAAGATCGATAGAACTGGATGAGAAACAGGCGAAACGAAGGTCCCGCATGCTGTGGTGGTGAACGCGTTACTCCCCGGAATGGACAATAGCGCGTTCGTTCCCCACAGCAGACACCTGCGGTCCGGAGTTTTGCAAATATCTCGTCATTATTGTGGTCATATTTCACATAATACTCCGCCATCAGAAAAGTAGTAGGCAATAAATAAAAAGGTTAAGAATGTTCTCTTCATTGAAAAGTTTTCGATACTGACAAACTATGCTTACTTGTACTTAGCACAAGTGGCCGTTGATGAAGGAACATCGCTCGAGCCCTCACTTAATTCGAATATTGCTAGCCATCAATCTGTCACCATGGAAAAAGCACGAAACAAACTGGGTCAATATTGCTTGCTCGGTTCATGTTTTTGAGAAAGAAACAAGAAGGGGAGGTTAACAAAATGGATATGAACCAATAGATGTCCTGCTTTATCGATAAGCCTACAAGATGATTTGGGTCAAGTGTCCGCAGCATTGGTTTCTTCTTGCGCCATTGGTCTTCGAAAAGCAGAAAGTAGAACTTAAAAACAATGTATTGAATTTATTTCGGTGTTTCTCACATCCGTTCTTTTTCATATGACAACTGTCGTTTCCAAGTCGATTTGATTTGGAATAACAGTGATTAACACGCCAAATTACCATGGAGTTAACTTGTTTGATTCTCATCTTCGCTTTACATTTCTAAGCGCGCAATATAACGTTTGCCGCCCGAGGAACTTCACAAAATCTATTTTAAACGGGCTGTCAGTTTGTGCCTTCAAAAGTCCTTGATAAGAATCTCATTGCAACTAATTTTCAAAAAGCACGAATTTGTCGAAAAGTTTAATGAACTCTGTTCTACTCAAACCTCAGATCTTCCTTTGAAGCATTGGTTTCTTTCAACAGCACCTTAAAACTGGCTCTGCTTTACACTGACCGTCTTTCTGCTTCCGCTTATGCTGGTGTAATCTTCATAACTGAAAACATTGGAAGTGAACCTTGCTTTCTATAAGACCCACGGCTAGCAGGCCCGTCTGTTGAAAACTCACTGGTTAGACATGAACTAAAAAACATTGCACGTAGTAATTCCCATGACCGACTTTCTGTTAACCTCGGCATTAATTGATAATTCAATGTTTTTCATCAATAAGCAGA